TCACTAACATCTAACAGCGCACACACCACCACTCATACATTTCAAACTTGCTCAAATTTCTCACCTTCCCATACCTACATCCTGAATTTTCACATAAACCATTCCGTCAATTCATTATGAAGTTCATAAATTCTGATAAAGAAGGTATACATTTCTCAATTAAAAACAAAAACCATGTGTACTGTCGGTGCGACTATCGCGACAGTCACGCATACCACACACCCAGCACGTGCGATACCTGACTTCAATGCCCTCTATCAGAAGGTATGACACTGAAGGGAAAACAATTTTCGGCTTATTCTGTTCCATCAAACTCCGAAAATTATATTCCTCGACACCCAAGGGGTTATATGCTCACTTTCACTCTCTGCATCCCTGGATTATGCCATGCCGGCAAAATCGAAGGTTCAGTGTGCACAGCCTTGTGGATGAGACGAGTAGACTAGTTTTATCCTCTAATATAGGCCTACATGAAAAGAATATCTCGGTCGTGAAACGGTAAACTTTGACTGACTTTGAAATCGGGTGTCGTTCCTCTGTAATCTTCAAAGGGCATATGTCTCATCCTCGTGATTGGTCAGGTTTTGTAAACCGGCCGAGACCAATCAAATACTTTGCCACGTGCCTTCAATTTTGCTATTTATCATATTATGGATCTCTGTCCCAATATGGCATATTCCAGGGCAATTCATCTCTACCCAGAGTTGTCGTTCCTTTTCAATCATTAAAGGGAGTGCAAGGACCGTAACTCTGCGTGGAGATTAATTCCAGGGGTGCAGAGAGCGAAAGTGAACGCAACCCCTAATCGTAACTCTTCGGTCTTTTCTACGTAAAAAACTTTTCGGTTACGGAAATGGCCGAGTGGTTACGATTGTGCAACCCCTAGGCCTGGGTTATCAATGATGGCGTTTTGCAAATAGACAGACCAGCAAAGTTACCCCCACTATCATCTTTTCACACACCATAACTTGTCTCTTTTGATAAATATCACAATGTTCAATTTAGAGCACTACCGCTTCAATCAATGCCTCCTACTTTATGTTGATCGAGTTTGACTATTTCGGGTTTCCAAGTGAGACCCTAACCCTGAACGTTCATTACCAGAATAGCCTCCAGATTCAGCTCTCTATTTCTGACACGTGTATACGGTGTCATATATCTTGAAAATGATCAGCTACTTCCAGTGGTTTACCTACGATCTTTAAATAGTTTCAGACTAATGCGTAAATAAGTATTTCCCTTCTGATGATCTCCTCATTTCTGTTGATGTCATAACCATACACAATGCAAAATTGTGTTGTAAAAGATAAGTCACCAATTGGTTTAATATCTAAAAAAGTGAATAAATTATAAATGTTTCCAATACAACCACTGCAGAATATAACTATCTAGCTGTGTGTCAATTTTCATCAATATATAACGAGAAATGAATTAAAGTAATTTAAGGTAAATTTATTTAAAGACTATATGAAAGAGAAGTAAATAAGTTAAAACAAAACGATAAAACTGCATAATATTCAATGAGAAAAAAAAAATTTGATAGAAAAATGATAGAATGTATGGCACGTCAACATATATATATATATATATATATATAGGTTTGTTTAAGATTTTATAATTGAACATCAAATAAAATCAGTAAGCACATTTTGCATAATTGGTTTAAAGAGCGCAGAAGCATAATAATTACAAATTAAGTTGTGAAAAAAGTTATTACAATTTTTTTATTCATTCAGAACGCCAAAGTTCTGAACGAAAGAAGCTCATAAAGTTACCTAGCTGTTGGTTGAGAAATGGTGGAATGACACCTGCTTTTCATCACTCTCGGAGTTATTGCCCTTTGACTTCCTGTTTAAGTTGGTTTTCCGATTCCCAAACTTATATTATCACACTTACCGGCGCGATGGCAACAAAAATGGATGTGGATACGCCTGGCTCAAGTGTCATAGCGTCCGCTGGAACGACAGGAAGCGTATCAGTATCCCTTCATCCTTTGGTGATCATGAATATATCTGAACACTGGACTAGAGTTCGGGCACAGGAGGGCAAACCAACACAAGGTCTATACAAACTGCTGGCTTAATTAAATTCCAATTTGTACTTCGAGTTTCATCGCGAACGTAATAATGTTTGTTTAATATTCTAGGAATGCGTTATATGATTTTAAGTGTATGCATTAACTCATTTAAAGATTATACATGTGATGACACAAGACGACGAAAGAGGATTTCGTTGTAAAGTGTACAATTGCAAGAACGACCCACAGGGGCACGTTACAAATGTCTGAAATACACACATATGCTATACTGATATGGGTCACAACACACATAAACATACACAAGGGAAGAAGCTTCGTCAGAGCACTACCGGTACCGCCAAATTTCAAATGAAGATTTTCAACACTTACTTTTGTTATTTTTTCCAGCGATCTGCGGCGATAGCTTCGGTTTGAATTGTAATAAAGTAATCCATCATGATCAATTGTGTAATCATTCGTCTAATACATCCAATCAAGCACTTTTTCGGGGAATTTGCAGTTTTACCGCCATGATTAACTTGAACCTGACCCGGAAATGACGAGGGCTTTTCGACATGTCTTTATAGCATACTGCCAAATACTACGGAAAGTCCCAAGGCCCCCCGAGTAGAGTCTAGTCCCGCAGCAAATAATTTTTGGCGCAATGTTTAAAACATCATGTCTCGCATCGTGTCCTGGTATGTATTTCACATTTACATAGTCCAATATTTTTGATACGGTAACTTTTAAACGTAAAATGCAAAATAAGTACCAGGAAACGATGCGAGACATGATGTTTTATACATTGCGCCAAAAAGTATTTGCTGCGGGACTAGACTCTACTCGGGGGGCCTTGGGACTTTCCGTAGTATTTGGCAGTATGCTATAAAGACATGTCGAAAAGCCCTCGTCATTTCCGGGTCAGGTTCAAGTTAATCATGGCGGTAAAACTGCAAATTCCCCGAAAAAGTGCTTGATTGGATGTATTAGACGAATGATTACACAATTGATCATGATGGATTACTTTATTACAATTCAAACCGAAGCTATCGCCGCAGATCGCTGGAAAAAATAACAAAAGTAAGTGTTGAAAATCTTCATTTGAAATTTGGCGGTACCGGTAGTGCTCTGACGAAGCTTCTTCCCTTGTGTATGTTTATGTGTGTTGTGACCCATATCAGTATAGCATATGTGTGTATTTCAGACATTTGTAACGTGCCCCTGTGAACGACCTAAAGAACACAATTTTACTCTATTGTGAGTACCTATGCACTAGCAACTAGTATACGTATTAACTAGACAGAACATGTATCTGGTTAATATCATTAAAATACTATCCATGATAGACTGTAAAACAGACAGCCAAATAATTTGATTATCGTGGCAGATTTTAATTATTATTTCAACCTAGGATTACGATCGCCTTCTTACTAGAGGGAATTTTCATTTAATTAGTTCAGTGATACAGAAGAGCAACTGACTAGGAAGTCTGGGATTGCAGGTTAGATCCCCGGTGGAATGTATTATATTAATCACACTATTCGAATTATCTTTCCTGCTACAAATGCATGGTTTCTGTGCTCGTGGCCCTCCCTGTGGTGGTAGGGAGTTAGAACCTGGGTTTTTGTGTTGTTTGAGGGCAAATACATTTTAAAAAAAAAAGGGGGGGGAATTTTAATTGTACATAGGAATACGGTCGTCTTCTAGCTTTGACCTAGAGGAAATTTCTCTTAATTTGATCCTTTGATATACATGAAAAAAATATATCACGGTCACGTAAGGGTAAACAAGTGACTGGCTTTAAAGTCTGGTATTGCTCCTCTGTAATCTTCAAGGGACAGGTCTCAGCCTAGCAATTTTCCAGGTTTGTTTACCTGAGACGAATCAAACAGTTATCTTCATGCCTTCAATTTTATATTCCAAGGGTGGAGGGAGCAAAAAGTGAGCCTAACCACTGGAATATCGAGGATGTCCTTCAACTGTATTAGTCTTGTGCTTTAAATTTGTAATCCTGATATTGCTAGTATTAAACTCTACCTCACAGTGACACTTAGGGCCGAGTACTATGAATAACTATACATTGAATATATAAAAGAATTCAAAATGACTGTCTGAAATCAAGATATTCAAAAGCATTTGCAATAGCTTTAGTAGTTCTCAGAAAAGATGTCCTTGCATAAATTTGAGTTTACTTACTATTATAATTGCAATTTAATGCAAATCAGGCTAGCTTTGAAGAACTGAGACCCAAATGAGATTTGCACCCATTCATTGATGTGTGAATCATGATCATAGTTATGGTATAGTGATGTTTGTTCAATACAAAGGCTATTTATTATGATCTCATCATGAGTTATTTTGTTTTTTAGATTGAACTGTATTTTGATTGTGAAAGACCATGGTAATACCACTAACCGGAATTGTACTTCAATTAAATATGATCATGAGCAGCGTATATACATATTCTTCATTAACTCATTCACCCCTGAAATTTTATAATGAACTATTCCAACCTGTGAATTGGAAGAGTTCAAATGAGTCTTCAGGGTGACATGCTTTTGAGTGAGGTTGTAACCTAACCCTCCTCCTAATAATCCAAGGACTCTTGCAATTGAAACACATATTTTATGTTCCATGCACCCCTGGGATACATCATGACAATACTGAAGGCTTGGGGCAAAGTATTTAATTAATTTCAAGTATAAAAAACCCTCATAAATTGCTAGGCTAATGTACATAATCCTCTGAAGATTACATAATATAAGCAAACCCCAACTTTGGAGCCTGTTTGATTTTACCGTTAGCTGCCGTGTGAATCCTATGATCTTCAATTTGATTTTGGCAAGACCTATTCCAGCGATGCATAAAAGATTACATACATGTATATATATATGTAAACAGGAGAAAATCCTTGGATTTTTATATGGCCGTAACCAAAAGACAGTTCAATAGCATTTGTGCACTATCTGTACACCTGCTATAAAGTTTAAAGTATTTTCATGCATGTCTACTCTTGTACTGAAAGATAGTATGTATTTGCTGATTACAAGTTTTCTTCTTCTTTATATTTACAGTTATAGGGGCGTTGATTGGTAAACAGAAAGGCAGGAATATTGAGGTGATGAATTCCTTTGAACTTGTGTTTGACTTAATTGAAGATTCTATCATAATTAACATGGATTACTACAACACCAAAGAAGAGCAATGTAAGTGTGAACTTTTATTTGACCACAATTACATACCTTCAATCATAGCATTCAATTTACTCTTGGTTAAGTTTCTTGGTTTGCAGTCAGGGACAAATTTGTTGGGATTGAATTTCGAGGGAATCATCATTTTTGAAATAGAATTTCTACACATTGATAATCTGCATGGTCAGTAAAAATCTTTAACTGACAGACATAAGGCAAAATGCATGGAAATATGTAAAGGTAAGTTCAGGTGGGATGTACATGTGTTCACTTGATAGCTATTCCGTCTTTGCATATTGCAGAGTTATCTTCTCTTGTGAGCAGGTATTGATTGTTACGTCATTGGTTTGTGTGAGAAAATTTCGTTGTTTTCTCAAACATTGATGACATTACTCTCACAAACAAATGACGTAACAATCAATACCTGCTCAAAAGAGCAGATAACTCTGCAATATGCAAATAAGAAATAGAGATCCATCAAATCCATATAATGCTTGAATGGTTAGATACAACTATACCACTTACACCAAATGTAGACTCGCAGACACTTACCGGTATGTACATGTACCCTGGCAGTAATTCTGACGATAGCAGATGAGAAAGATGTCTTTACTGAAATGATGAAAATCACCCAAAGTGACCATCTAAGTTTTATTGATGGCTTCAAATTCAGATCTAGACTATAGCCAGGATTGCCGAGGTCTGTAAACATTAGGGTTTATTGACAATTGCGACCAATGTCCTGTAAATGAATGACAGGTATATAAATACCTACTGCCGCACAATTAACTGTCTCCTTTATCATAGTAACTTACCTTTATTTGTTCAAATGCTTGGATTGCCCTGAACAGAAGTATTTTTATATGAACGTGTACATACATGTGCAACAAATTCCAAATACATATATATTTTCGTAACAAATTGATTAGATTTTTTTTCAAATATTCATGTGGTCTTTATTTCGTGTAGTTAATTTAGTTTGGGATTATATTTTGTGGTTTCTCTAAAACAACAAAATGAACAAAATCAAATCCTCAATGAAATTTTATGCCAAAACAGTATGTTAACTTTATAAATTGAAGTGAATTTTTACTTAGTTTTAATGATTTTTACTGTTAGATGGGAAAAAAACAAGATTAAATATTTTTCATAAAGAATTTTGAAAAAGTATATATACTTAAATAAATGTTTTGATTATGAAATTTCCCAAACCTTTATGCTAACTAGTTAATAACTTTTGAGGCACAGTTAGCTATGAATTGCCAATAATCAACATTATTAGACCATTCAATAAGCACACTGTGATTAACTATGTCAGCTTATATATTTAACTGTACATAGGAATGTGTTTACATGTATCAAAAATGGGATAAATCCCACATAAGTCTGGATCATTATGAAAGTATGTTTGTAGGATACAAGATGCATGAAATAGGTATTATACTATATAGGTTGGGGACGTTATTGCATCGGTATAGACAATACACGGTTGTCAAATTTTTAGTCAATTTGCTCCTTCATCAGAACACATTAATGGGAGAACACATCACATTACATTAAACAAAAACAAAATTGAAATATAATGCACATATATTAACCTCGGTATGCATGTAGATTATTTTTGATAATTATGTAGCTGCATATAGATAAATCAATGAGAAACATCTTTTGAGGAAAAAAAATGATATTTACATACATGTACCTGAAGCTTATAGTTTGAATTCTCACCTATGTTCCCTAATTTTGAATGTCAAAAGCATTGTAAATCAACTTTGAGAAATAAAAAACAATATATTATTTAACTTAAATACAATGGGAGAAAATTTATAATTTTATCCAATAAAAGTCCAACTTCTGGTCAATGCGCTCAAGCAAATTATATTATGATAAGCTGATTATAGATTGAATATGTTAAAGTGAATTCATTACCACATGAAATGTTATATATATTATTTTAGAAGTTAATGGATTTCTGGAATTTTTACTTTCAAATATCTATATCTTAGGCCATACATATACCCATACAGTTTAATAGTTTCTTAAACATGGATATTTTTCTTTGCAGTTAAACAAGTATTTAGTGACATGGACTTCCTGGGATGGTACACAACTGGAGATGGCCCCACTCAATCTGATATCAGCGTTCATAAACAGGTAATTATTGATTGGTTAGGGATAACTTGTGACACAGACGGGAGGTGACGAACCATTGATCAGTTACAATGTATGGAATGAGAACAGTCTCTCACAACGACTGTCTGCATAGGGAAAGACCATCCACATGATTATCATAGAGTATATTCTACATCAGCATTATATAATGCAGTTTATTTATGTACAATCTTAATTACTTATATACATTATATACTTTTCTTGAAAAGTCTCTAAATCATTCTTCAGCCATAAAGTGTACTAATGATGACGCAACAGAAGGAATTGTCTTGACCACAATGTATGGAATTTCTGAATATAACATATTTTGAAGATATACCATATTTTGTAAATGTACCATATTTTACACTGCATTTCCCCAACTCTCTACTAACTTCCCCTGTAAGTTATCCCTATATTCACGTCACTATCCCTAAGCTATAGTTGTTTATGTTGGTTACGATGAAAGGTAACAGATTTATATAAGTGTATTAGCACTTATTTCTGTCTCCAATTCATTTATGTTCAATCGTTTATGTTTGTTATATGTATTACATATGTTATGTGAATTAAACGAAGTTTAAACTAGACTTTTGCATTTGGTACGTCTATCACAAATTGGCCCTTGCTTGGGTTAAAACGACCTCTGCTGTATTATTACATTTTTCTGAATTCAGGTTAGTGCTAGATTAAATTTGAACTGCTTACAGAGCAAATAATAATAATTTCACAAGGTTCTTATAAATTATACATTTACTATGAGCCTTCAAATTTTATATTACTCTCAGTAAATTGATTGCAATAAAACCAAATTAGAAATTTTCAGAACCCTTAGAACTTGCATGTACTGTACAAACGGTCAGATTCAGGTATAAGCTTGACCCGCATTTTACCCCTGTCTCAGGACTGAGAACCCCTTGCTTATGAGTGCTAATTACATAAAATGTTGTATTAAGTGTCACAATACATGTAGCTATATGCCTTTTTAGCTAGATAATTCATATAATACTGTGTCTTTTCTTTCTGGTCTTGCTTGTGGACACCATATTGGAGTGGAATTGAGACAATGAGTATCCATAGCAAGTTCCTTTATTCTTCCCAGAATAACAGATTATATAACAAAATGATGCCATCCAAAAACATAATCTATGATTATTGCTTACTTTTAACATTATTTCTTGAAATGAAAAGTGTATCTATTTCTTCGTAATCTCCCAGCTTCCTGCGCAGGCGACACATCCACTTCCGTGGAATTCTTGTCTTGTTTTGTGTTGCATTTTTAGCTCACCTAGCATAAAGTGCCAGTTGAGCATCTGGTATGGTATGTTGTCCGCTGTCCATCCGTCATGAATTGTATAGAGTGTACACAAATAAATAACCTTGACCTACTTTCAAGATCACATGGGTCAAATGTGTTCAAAACTGTTAAACATCTTCTGAATAACCAATTGCAAGAGGCCTAAAGCAATGAAATTTGGCCAGTAGCTATAGGTAACTGGGACAGAGTGCAATGAAGTTTATTGAAATAGATGACCTTGACCCACTTTCAATGTCACAGGGGTGAAATATGTAAAAAAAAAAAAAACACACATTCTTCAGAATATCCAAAAAGCCCAGAGTAATACAATTTGGCCAGTAGGTACCAGCTGGGATAGAATGTTTTAGACTTCCCTCAAATAAACAACCTTGACCTACAATGTACCTTGTAGGTCACAGGGGTCAAAAATGTAAAAACATATTAACAACTTCTTCTGAATGACCAAGAGGTACAGAGTAATGTTACTTGACCAGTAAGTACCTGGCATGAAGTGCTATAAGCTTTCCTAAAAATAAATTACCTTGATCTACTTTCAAGATCACAAGGGTCAAATTAAAAAAAAAAACTTTAAAAAAATTCTTCAGAATAACTAGGAGGCCCAGAGTAAGGATATTTGACCAGCAGGTATGTATACCTGGGACAGTGTGCTATACATTTCCTCAAATAAGTTACCTCTATCTACTTTCAAGATTGCAAGGTCAACTGTGTTAAAAACCTTCAACCAACCTCTTTTGAATAACCAGGAGTCCAAGGGCAATGATATTTGGCCAGTAGGTACATGTACCTACTTTCTAGGTCACAGGGGTCAAATATGTATATATCCTTAACCAACTTCTTCTGCAATACAAGGAGGCCCTGGGTGATGATATTTGACCAGTAGCATGTTTGGATACTATAAAGTTTCAATTAGTCAGGACATTCTTAAGCCAATTAAGGAGACTCAATATATTGAAATATTTGCAAAACACTTTTATTGAGAATATTTCCCCATGATTGCTCAAATATATAGGTGAGCGATTCCTGCCCTCTGGGCCTCTTGTTAAAAGTTTGATCCCAAGCAGGCAGCAATGTTGATGTCAACTTCGATTTCTAAACAGAATAAATAGAATTGACCCACTTTCAAGATTTGGAGATTCATATATGTATTTGTGATAAAATTTTGAAATGACTTCCTCTGCAGAACTAGGATGAGTTTAATGGCATAAGGGTCAAGTGTGTTGATATCTGAAAACAAATTACTGAATCAACAGGATATGTAAAAGATAATGGTGTTTTGCCTGTACAGCTTGCTGGGTGAAAGGCTGTCAAAGTAGGCCTAGGCTAGCTAGGTATCATGACCCGCATCCAAGGTCTATAGGGTTCAAATTATATGTGATGAAATGTAAAACAGCTTCTGAAGAATTGAACTTTCTATAACATTTATCAATATTTGCCCTCTTGGTTAAAATTATGATAAAAATCCATTATTACCTCAGTCTATAATCTCTTGATTAGTCAGGTTTACATGTAGTTTTTTCACTCAAACAACATTAATGTTATTTTTCCATTTAACAATTATAAATATCAGATATGTGATACAAGCCTTTTAGACCTCTTGTTTAGTAAATATCTTGCTTTGGTTGACTGTGTATTGCCACATGTCTACTTATAGCTGACTAAAGTGTTTTTTTTAAATCAATAGTTCCAAAGGTGTAAAATTTTGTATTAGGAATACTAGCCTCCAGGTAGATTTGAACAATTTAATAGCTCTACCTAAATATTCATGTAAAATAAATATTAGCCTGACATGAAATCAGTTTGTAAAATCCTGTGACATCTGCTAAGAGAATGAAAAATTAAATATGTTTTGCTTCACTGGCTGATTTCGATATGGAACTGTTAGCAATCAATGTTCCAGTCGATGCAACATGACACACAAGTACTGTGTACTAACTAATGGATTATAACCTTGAATGGTTAGAAGTGTGACTGAATGGATAAAGAACATGATTACCAAAGCATGGAGCTAAGGAATTTTAACATGCGGTCATGCTAGAATCAACTTGAGGATTATCTGATTCTTTTAATTATCATACCATACCTGCTAATCTCTGAATCTTCCATCAAGGTCATGACACACAATGTACTGTATATACATAATACATAAATAATGGAGCCTTCGGGTGATTTTCTACGAAAATAAATGTCCAGCAAAGTAATTGTATATTCTTTTGATATCTGTTAGAAACTTGTGTGAAATCTATAAATGAATACGGTATATATATAAATATATATATATCATCACTCCTGTGTGATGCAGACAGAGAAATGTCAGCCAGATCTGGGTAAGATTTTGAAGTTATGCACAAGACTTTGTAGAGTGCTAAACTTAAAAATCTTATCCCAAGGGTTGCACTAGCCTTCCCGGTTCCCCCACTGGGTTATGGGTTTGAGGCTTACATGGGGCAGTTGCCAGGTACTGGCCATTTAGCTATAGGTAGATGGGTTTTCTCCAGATGCTTCGGTTTTCCTCGTACCACCAAAACCTGGCTCATCTTTAAATGGCAATAGCTGTTAATAGGGCATAAATGATAAACAGACCAAAGGGTTAAGATTTCTCTGTCTGCATCACTCAGGGGTATTTGTAACATGTTCTTACCATAAAAAAACAATTATGAACCAAATAACCTGCATCATCATCAAGGGTGCATGAAGTGTGGTACAAAATTGAAGATGCTACCCTGGTTATACTCTTAAGGGATGACACGATATGATGACATTTAATTTGGTGTAGTTGTGTGTGTAAAATGTCTTTTCCTTGGTAAGGTAAAGATGGGCTCTCATTTTTGTCTAGCAAAAAAAGGGAATGCATGCACACCAGCTGTGAAGTTTGGGAGAAATACAATGTACATTGTAACTGTAACTTGTCATAAATGTATGAAGCCAATCCCCTTCCTTGAGTCAGAGATTACATGATGTGGAGATGTAATTATATAATTGATAAAATCTTCATTTGAATATTGTAGACCTGTAGTGGTGTAAGTTGGTAGAATTTTTTATAATCAGTTCAATCATTGGTTACTGTAACCTTATATTACCAATTAATCAATTAGTAATTGTTTTAAAGATATACGTCATGAAATCCTTGCAAATAAATAATGATACCAATAGCATGTAAGAAATTCCTTCCTTCAAATACTGAATCTGTAATTTGCGGTGCTAAGCGACCATGCACAGATCAAGACTACAGGGAAAATACTGGAATTTGAGAGCAGTGTGCCATTTTCAGCCATTTTTAGTCAATATCAAAATTAAGACGGGCCATTCTATGTAAAATTAAAAGAATTTCAGTTTTGAGGGGTCGATGGCCCCATGCCCCCCCTAAGTCTGGTGTCAGGGCCAGAGGAAACTCGGGCCATGAGCAGACTTGAAAGAAAAAGCAAGTTATCAGTGATTGTGCCTGCGAATTTTGCAGAATAACTATAGTATTATAATCTGTAACCATTGTCTATGTTTTATGTTTCAGGTGTGTCAGATCAATGAGAGTCCTATATTAATGAAGATGAATCCTCTCTCCAGACAAACTGATGTAAGTTATAAACCACTAAAGTTTCTACATATCTTCCAACAGAGCTTGTGCAGGTTGATTTAGGAAAATATCACCCTCAAAAACACAAGATTTTGGAAAAATGAAGTTGTTTTTGCAATTATTTTTTGGAAAAAAAACCAGCAGAAATTATTCAGGAAAAGGGGCCTTTTTAAGGTCCCAAACTGTCCTTAGAAAATCAATGTAGACATATATACAACTAACGTACGGAGAATTTAAACATTGTTGTACATGTATTTCACAAATTAACTTAAGCTTGCAAAGGTTGCTAATAATGATTGGTTTGGTTTAATTATTTTTAACGTCCTATTAACAGCTAAGGTCATTTAAGGACGTGCCTCTATGTGTTTAAGTGTATGCATGCTTGTGTGTACGTATGCAGGAGACAGGGTATGTTGGTGTTCTTGCCTCCTTGTGATAGTGCAGATTTGATGCCGACTTTAAAGTGCTATCTCACTGAAATACCGTTATGAAACAATACATATACTGGTACAGTAAAATCATGATATAATTGTTTCATTTGACATCTCTTTTACTGCCGACTTATTTAAAGGTCTCTTTAACCTTTTTCTTAACAATTTCTTTATACATATGTATGTCTCCTTGGTATATTGTCAAACATCTGTATAATGTGAAATGTTTGCAAGAAAAATTATGGCAAAAAACATGATTGGCCTGTACATGAACTAACAATTAACCATGAAATGTGCCCTGCAATCGATAATATACATGTACAATACAAAAAATGCATTATTATATGTTACTTACACAAACAACTTTTTTTTCTTTTTTTTTCTAGCTGCCTGTCTGCATTTATGAATCTGTGATAGATCTTATCAACAATGAGGTAAGTAAAAACCTTCTGAAAGATCTTGGCAGGTTGAAACGTCAAGGTTGAAATATATATGATTCCGATCAACCCTCATGAAATATTCATATGAAAAAGCAATACTCATGACTGAAACACCTGGCCAGGATATATATAAATATTTATATACAGTTTTTGACACCCAGTTGTAAAAGTTATGTAGAAAGGTCTTCCTTATATTAATTTGATTGAATCATTTGTGCTCGGAGTTCAGGTAGAGAGATGACATATTTCTGATTTTGATTACCAACAGTTGCGAGCACATAACCTATAGTTCTATACAAAACATTTAACAATGCTATAGTCATGTTGATAAAATCTGTTTCCAGTGTTTTAGTTTTGCAGTATTATATGTTCTTGAATATTTTTTGAAATACTGGTTTGTATTTCTGTGTTCATTTTGTATTATCATGATAAAAATAGGATGCCATGATTTTAAAAAAAATTGGGATAGCAAAATAAATTTAGATTAGATGATATCCAAGGGAAATTTCTTATAAGGCAAAGAAATGCACAAAGTTTTGGTTATAGGATGGTAATTCATTTGTGTTTCATATTTTTGAAACTTGTCACAGTTTTCATTGCAGTTAGCTAAAAGTTTGCTTAATTAATATAAAACTGTGTTAAATTGATCATGTAATGAAAAATCATTTAATATCTTCTATTATAGAGCATGCTGTAAAAATCTGTACAATACCTCAGTACCCTATTATCTTATTTCTCTTTCATTTCAGGCAACAATGCTCCTCGTTGAATTACAGTACACACTTGCTACAGAGGAAGCTGAGAGAATAGGTGTTGATCACGTTGCCAGGGTAACAGCAATGGATGCTGGCGACAGCTCAAATGGTATTTAAAATTAATAATGTATTCTGCTTTATGTAAGTCAGGGAGCTTAATCATTGGAAAGGAGGTAGGCTGAGTTAAGAGCTTCACAGTTAACTGGAGGGAGAAATAGATTTGCAACTGTCTGCCAGTCTGTCAGTTGCTGTCATTTTACAATTTCTAATGAAGATTATTTGGGTACAAGTTTGTGAAAAATTGCAAATACTTGAAATATAAAAAATCACAGTTGAAAGTAATTAATTTGAAACTGTCTGGTCATAGAATATTTAAATAAAATTCAAACAGACAGAAAAGCGAAAAATAAAAAATAATCTGACTTACCTCCCTTTACAGTTTTAACTCTTTGAACGAAACTTGACTTTTAGATATATTTTATTCTGGATAAAAGATCTTTTGCTCTTTTCCGAGATAAACATTTTCAAGTTATCCAAATTAATCAATTTTTACTGAGCTTTCGGTTCAGCTGGTTGTTGGAAACATCAGTTTGTGGCACAGATTTTTCTACTTTTATTTTACAAGTTTCGCTTATTTTTACAAAATGTGGAAAAAAAATGGCCAAAATCCTTTCAGCATTGGTTAGGAGGTATGCTGAGTTAAGTATTTCTCAGTTTACTGGAAGGCACTATAGATTTGCAACTGTCTGTCAGTCTGTCAGTCGCTGTAATTGTGCATGTTTGCTAAGGCAGATTATTTGAGGACAAGTTTGTGAAAATTGCAAATATTTGCAATATTGGAGATATCAGTCTAAAGTAAGTAAGTAATTTGAAACTGTCTTGCCATAAAATATTTAAAATAAATTCAAACAGAACAACAGAAATTAAAAAAACCCTGACTTAATCTGACGATTGACTGTGTGAATAGTATGAACCAATAAGAGTATTTTGAATCAAAATCTTCTGATTTGGCAAAAATAAACTTATATGTAAGTGTGTGTGTGTGTGTGTCATCTCTAATTGCAAGCTGTTGCTAGGACATGCTGTTATAGCCTTATATAGAATTGGCTTTTTACATGAGTAAAATAAACTCTTAGTAGAACTGTTCTCCACAAGTAGAACTGATGGAGTGGTATCCTTTATGAAAACTGATTGTGTAAATGTTTCTACATCAACAGTGGCAGAATACCTGGTAGCCCAGCACAGTTCCATTAAGATGTTGCACAGTCGTGTTAAGCTGATCCTTGAGTACATTAAAGCTGTACAGGCAGGTGAGTCGCACAGGATGGTACAACACAGCTTGAGTACATTAAAGCTGTACAGGCAGGTGAGTCTCACAAAATAGTACAACAATCCTTGAGTACATTAAAGCTGTACAGGCAGGTGAGTCTCACAGGATATAGTACAACAGTGTTTTATCCTTGGTATCAGGTGAGTCTCACAGGATAGTACAAAAGTGTTTTATCCTTGGTATCAGGTGTGTATAATTCCCATTGCCTGCTGCTCAAGGCTAAAAGATTTTGCGTTAGAGCCAGTGGAAATTTTTAAGGATTCGTGTACCACTGCCAAAAATAGTAACAGTGCATTGGAAATTTCCGCCATGATTATATAATAATAATAATTTGAGGTTCTTATATACCGCTTTATCACAAACTAGTTTTTAGGGGGTCTCAAAGCGGTTCACAAATTATTATCCGTAGTTGTAGGGCCTTTGCAACCAGCCAATATCTTTCTTAACTCCCTGGGGAGCATACAGCCAGTGCTGCTTTTTCAGCGCTCACAGCTAGCATTCTAAAATTCAAACACTGCCCAACCACATACTCATTTACAGCTAAGTAGACTGGAACAAGCAGAGTAAAGTATCTTGCTCAAAGATGCAACAACAGTGCAGGCCGTGACGCAAACCCACAACCCTTCAGTCACGAGCGCGGTGTCCTACCACTAGACCACCGTGTCTCCTGGGTTATAACCTTATAGGGTTGATATATCATTTTGAAAGAAAATATACCTGGCATAGCTTTAAGAAAATAAAATATTGAAAATCAATGAGCAACAAAAATCACCAACAGTGCTTTGAGTGGGACATTCTAAATATTTACAAAGTGAAAAGTTTGATAAAATACTTCAAGGATCCCCATATCACTACCAAAATCTGTAAGTATTGGAACTGCTTTTTCCAGCATGTCTATAGCTTTCATATATCATTTCGGGAAAAAACCCCATATCGTGCAAGACTTTTATGAAAAATAATAAAGATGAAATAAACAAAATATAATCAAGAAGAGTGTTTCGAGTGTAAAAAATTCCAACGGGACTAGACTTGGGGTAAAAGGACACAATTTGTATAAACTGAGGTTATGCCCCCCCCCCCCCCCCCCCCCCCCCCTCTCCCTTTTGGCAGAAGGGTGTATATGAGGCCAAATAGGGGGAAAAGAGGAACAAATTTAAAATCTTTCTCCTTTTTACCAGTGAAGGGATAAGAGGATTCAATTTTGTATAAAGTTTTATACAGAGTGTGTGCTCCCCCTTGGGTTGGGACCAGAGGGATGGGGCCCGATAGGAGAAATAAAGAGAAATCTTTTAAAAACTTTACGTTTCTGTGTGAATAGAGGGATTAACACCAAATTTGTTACAGATCATCTATAGGCAAATGGACTAAATTTTGTATAAATGGAGGGTGTGACCCCGTTGGGGCTGAGGCCTACGACCCAATAGGGGAAATAGATTTACATGTAGTTCTTTTTGCTACTTGTACTTCTTGTACTCCTTTGATAAACCTGTATGGTACTCAGCAGGTTTTAAATTGAAAAAAATATTCCAGGTGAGCTATTAAGGCTCCTGGGCCTCTTGTTCATTAATCTTACAATGTCCAGGGTTCACTTCTTTACGTTGATGAAGGGAGTTACAAGAAAGTTTTGTTTAGGCACAGAGTACATGCTTGAGCATGACAATGATATTTCACCCTCCCACATGAATAATCATGTAACAATATGTAAACGATAAAAATAAAGAAATTGAAATTATTTAATTATTTAGAATGTAGTAAATTGGACACCAACAACAAATAGGGTCTGACAATACATGTATTATGCAATTCTTCTTGTTTCTTATAATTGATGTTTTTAAACATTGGATATTTCAAACTTTTCAGGAGAAGTTCCAAAGAACCATGACATACTGAGAGATGCGTACAGTTTGTGTTATAGACTTCCTGTACTTAACACTGATCGATTCAAGGCAGACTTCTACAATGTAAGTAAGACTTGGAAGAATCTTAGCTATGAATCGCTAACAGATTTATGTTCGAAAGGTCTGTCAGTTCTGAAATAGATTAATAGAATCTCTAAACTCCTTTGGGGTAGGATAGGGGAATTACATACATAGGACGAAGATTCTTAATTTTCCAAAACACAAGGCTTTGAAAAGAAAACAGTTTAACAACTAGTTCCTGTCCACAATATCTGTATGCACTGATTCCTGTCCATAATCTTGATTGAATGAATTAGGTTTTACCTTCTCTTAGAAAATGCTGAATTCCTCTTCATGCTTCTTGGTAAGGACAGTTTGGCTGCTGGCAATCAGAAATTTCGCTTGTTCTTTCTTTTTTACATAATAATATTTCAGTAATTAGGTAAATTGTCAACCTAACTTTGAATGTACATGTCAAACACAGCAGTATGAAGTGTTTGTCTTGCCTGCAACGGATGTTGCTGAGGCGAGACATAGGTGGCACTTTACTGGTGGCGACGTCAGTGTAAAGTTTTTTGCGTTTAGCTCTGTTTCGACTAAAGTGTAATAGCTACACGATACAAACCTGGACCATAGTTTCTTTACAACTTCTTCATTGTATTCCATTCAACATTTAGTGTATCCCAATATTTCCTGGCCCATTGGTTGTAAGTCAAAATGGCGGCTTTTTACATTTCAAGGTTGCGTGAAAGTTGTCGATTTACACGAATAAATGCCACAAATCTTCATTGTGTAATAAAAAGGATCTTACACTCGTTTTCATTTCATATGAAATTCATGAAACTCGTCACAAATTTTTCATTTTAGTTCGCAAGAGGCTTGTTAAATTGAAAAATTCTTATACTTGTTTCATAAATCTCATATGAAATGGAAACTCATGTAAGATCCTATAGAACTAAAAAGTTAATAAATAAGTCCTATACCTGTCCAACTGACACCATAGATATTCTTTTAGGTTGTTTGCTTGGGATTTCTTGGTTTAGTTTCTTTTTCACCAACCTCATCTTTTTAAGTTGTTCTTTATTTATGGTTTAGCTAAGTTTTTCAAAAACTGCAAGTTTTACACCAACTACCCTGTAGTGCTCCTCAGTACCTGCTTCGAATCGAAGCTGCATATGATCTGAGAATTTTTGTCTAAAGTCTAAATCAAAACCAAATCATTTAAACTTTCCAATATTTTAACCCAGTCTTATCAACTATGAACTAATTCCAATTTCAATTTGATTTGAGTTTGATCATAAGGAAACACTAGTAATGTTAGGTCATCACAAATGTTAAGTTTCTGTATTTTGCTCTCATTCCAAAACTAATTACTGTTAATTATAATGGTCAATGCGCGGGCAGGCAAGAAATATAATTCTGTGGAATTCTTGTCATGAAAAATTACCACTTGGTGCATGTATAACTGTTGACAATTCAACAGATCAGAGTAAAGAAGACAAAAAAAATTCAAACTTAAGTTGAACTAATAATCTAACTATGGTAGTCCCTAGGCTCCCTCTGGGAATTCCCCTTGTGATTATATACCGGCATTAGGTAGTTGTGATAGCTACATAGATATTAAATTATGTCTATTATACCTTTCAGCAATGTAACGATGTTTGTCTGATGGCCTACCTTGGGACAATTACAAAAGGATGCAATACCATCAACCAGGTAATTAGGAGGACCTCTACTGCACACTATTGATAATATCATATTCCGTCTTTGCGTATTGCAGAGTTATCTTCCCTTCAGAGAAGGTATTATGTCATTTGTTTGTGAGAGTAACGCCATCAATTTTTGGGAAACGACGTAATTTTCTCACACAAAACCAATGACGTAACAATCAATACCTGCTCTCAAGAGAAGATACCTCTGCAATACGCAAAGACGTAATAAAAGTGTAACACAGATTATTGCAGTAATGTTATTTAGTACTTTTCACACTCTAAGCCATGGAAAAAATTATGATTGTGATAATTAAAGTTTTTGTATATTGTCAATGGGCCTTAGTGCTGCATTAACTGTATATACATTAAATGTAATTTTACCCTTTCAACACTGTAGACCGTAATGGACTAGTCCAGATCAATTTATGGTAGAGGGTATTTTAGTTATATAGGGGTGAAAGAGTTTAAGCAGACAGTATTTATTCATAGTTAAATGTATGATCACGGATCATAGATCGAGTGAATTATTTCATATTTTGATATCTCTATTTTCAGTTTGTGAACAAATTCAACGTGATGTATGACCGACAAGGAATGGGTCGCAGAATGAGAGGACTCTTCTTCTGATTCTGAGAACAGCAAGCATCTGATAGTAACATCATGTGTCTGGAAATCTAAGACTGATGTTTTGCTATACTCTGTGCCGTGTGTGATATAATGACATTATAGAGGGATCAGAATATTTGAAAATTGTGGAAAGGTTTCCCGATCGCGTAAGCCACAGGAATGCTGAATTGAATGGCGAAATTCCTGACGTGCATTTCAACGTCAATAATGTCATAGCTCATTCAGCGTCATATAACAGTGTGATGACAACGACGTGTGCATGGATGATGAAGAGTTTTTTTCAATCCAACCAACCGTTCACCTTTAACCCATTCACCCCTAAAGTCACATTTGAACCTTACCAAATCAAAGACAGGGCAAGTCCAGTTTAAATATGTAGGGGGTGAATGAGTTAAAGGAAAAAGGTCTTGGACAAGAGATGAAAATAAAACATTTATACACACACTTTCAAATACTTGTGTACACAGAGCTTAAGCTAAACTTATAGACTTAATGCAAGATAGTGCTATTAAAAGATTTCATTATCTGTTAAGATCATGTCGGTTTCAAGATTTTTTAACCTTTCCACCACTGTAGACCATGATGGACTCATCCAGATCAATGCATGGTAGAGTCTACTAAAGTTGCATAGGGGTTAAGATAAAAACTGAAACATACGCGTACTAGAATTTACTTAAGTTATGTTCTTTTCATGATTGTAGATATATATTTAATGTAATGTAACTTAGCAGAAACAAAATGTGTTGTTTAACGGGAGTCTACCGCTGTAAGATGTTATTTCAAAGACTGCAGACATCTTGAAATTTAATATTTGAAACAGATGCTAGATAACATATTAATACATTATTTGTTTCATGTGATATTATGCCGTTAACATATCTACATCTACAGACGCCCACGGAAAATTTCTCTTCGCAAGCACCTCATTCATTATACATGTAGCGTGCAAAAAAACCAGTCATGTGTTTCTTGAGGTTTGCCCTGCTTAAATACATAAATTGGATCAAAGAGTTAACTTGTTTCTACAACCTCTGTGTATGCAAGATATGTGGAACACCAATATGGGGGTGAGATAGTGGAATCTCAATCTAAGGGGGAAGATTTTTAAGTTGCCAAACACATTGCTTTGCCGAGTGTACTCAATGATCTCAATTTAATATGGAACTTTATCTTTCTCTAAACCTTTTTGTAGGGAGTGCACAAGAATATACAGAGGCATTTTTGTTCAAAAGGTTCAATATGATATAACGCGTATCTGCTGACCTTCTGAAACGTGACATATTTTAAGATGATAGTGAGATAATTAAATTGACACGGAAGTTGGTCAATGACAGAATATCTACCACCAAAACTCAGTTAGCATCTGACATCCTTCATGGAATTCAAAAAATAAAAAATATTTTTTTCAAAACCCTTTTAGTTTTAAAGTAATCATACCATACTTTTTCCTGCTCTTTCCAAATTTGTTGTTGATAAATTTGTATGGTATCTAGAAAATTAACTCTATCAATTGTTGCATTTACAATGTCATTGAAATACTGAATTCATGAGTAGGAGAACGGAGAATAGGGATAAGGAAATTCAAACCCTCAGATGTGGAATTTAGGTTTTGGAACTATTTAAAAGCTGTGACCTAAATTCAACATCCAGGGATAGACAGGTAGGGTCCCAATAGGTCCTCCATTATTTTTCTCAATCAAGTTTGGTCCGACTGTTGCATTACTAATTACACGGAACGCTTGTATTTAGTGATAGTATCACAGACTAGCCTAAGACAAATTGGAACATTTCATTGTTAAATCAGTATGTTGCACCTATATTTGTAGGTTTGTGATAAACTTGACTTTATGTTTTGATATTTGTAACGTTGTAAAATAAATACAACACAAATACAAGGAATGTTTGAATTGGTGTTTTTTTTAAATTTTAAATATTAATATGGCCCAACTTAAATGAAATATGGCTGACCAGGGTTTAGAATGACAATTAGGAAGTTTAATGATATTGGAGGAGGAGGAATGGTTCCGTACGTATGGCATTAATTAATCGTCATCTCACCACCAAAATATAAGAAATATATACATATGAAACAGAAATTTGCAAAGAGTCAACACACAAGGAAAAGACATCAAGCTCGGCTTCACAACTCTCTGCTGTTATTATTTTCTTTAATTCCTAATTAAAATGTACTATAGCTATTTTTAAATACAGTCATTCCAAACACATAATATTAAAACATGTAAATACCAAGATTGTTAGCAAAGAAATACAAAAATACACCAGTTATTTCTTTCATTTATTTTAAACATTTCCATCACAAGCAAATGATACAAAATTTGAATTAAGATGACCTTCGAATAACTGTTCATTCGGGTTGTTCCGTTTCTTTTCATAGGTAGGGTCAAGCGGGACATGTGGTAACTGGCGATCAAAATATTATCAATAATGTACATGTAACTAGCTACGAGCGTTTTTCATGAAGGGTCCAAAGGAACAAGATATTCTACTATCGAATATAATTTGAATTTCAAGACCTTGAAGGATTCCTTCGAAGACCACGGCATGCAATGGACAAAACGTAGAGAATGCTGAATTGGATTTCAGAGTGCTTAAAATATATTTGGTCCATCATAATGATGGAATTAGTAGCTTGAAATCGAAAACAAATAGAAACAAGTCCGTATTCATTGACCTAATTCATAAACTAAACACACGTAACTTATCTGGAGGATAAATACTAGTTTTGTATTTATGCGTTCCTTGTATTTGAGCACTTAACTACATGACATTTGCATTTCTACTTGATTACAAACATAGCTCTACTGATATATTATCCGTTTTTTCTCAATGCTAACTACTAGCTAGCCATGCCAAATGTTATGAATACTAATTAATAATACGATGAGAATGCGAATCAGACTCGCTTGTATTGGTTTTCAAAACAGGAAACCTTGCAAACAAGTTTTGTCGCTGGCTATGCTGGTAGCTCATCCAAGCCATTTTCCACACCACCATTCTCTGTATCCTGACACCGTATACATAAAAAACGGCATTAATTGAATGTGGATTTTAAAGGACTCAAACGATCTTTGATCAACCTTTTCCACACAGCCTTTCTTACCGCTTTTGATATGTTGTTCGATAAACACAGCCTTATATGAAAACAAGTCGGTCAAGAGAGATGAACAGTTGGTCCTAATATGTCTGCTCCGAACTCAATAAAGACAGTAGTCGACCACAAATTTAGTCATGCTTATGATTCCATCCACAGTGTCTTTTGTCCTTGCCGTTGTCGAACTGTTCGCGATTGATTTTCGTAAGAAGTTCACAACTATTCTATAACATCGATCGCCTTTTTTTGTTTTGGAAAAGAACCCTATATAATAAGAGAGCAGAGGCGTTTGTTAATTTCTGAGATGTGATAGTATGCAGACTCGAAAAGTAAACTATTATGATATGAGGCAATTTTTTCAGCAAAAGATGTTCAAAATTAAAGGAAAATGCGTCTGAGTTATCAAAGACCCACATTCAACTAACACCATATCTGAAGTAAGCATGTAATACTTTGTTAGCAGGTAGATTACGGTTGTACCACCAGGTCGATTTTATTTTAACTGCTCTGACCACATTTCGCTTCTTCTTTTATTTCCTGTCTAATTTAGATAATGAACATTTGTCTGTTGTTCTTTTCTGTTTACTCTTATTGCGGTTGTTATTTACTCAAAGGTAACTTAAGGTAAAAGGGCACTACTGCATCAGTTAAATCGAAAACTAATGTTCAACTTAGTTTGTGTTGACATGGAATAATCTCCCTTCTATACAGAGAATGAAGCCGCCAAAAGGAGTTTTCATTGGGTATCTTTCATTTTTATTGTTTTTCATAGGCCTATAGTCTGTACAGCCAATAAATGAAACACCATTATGATGCTGTGCATTGATATTCCTGGATGGCAATATCGGTAAACGTCCTTTAGTTTATATAAATCTGTAATTATTAAGAAACCCCGTACTAAAGACTAGTGTTTCGTGGATTGAATGCATCTAGGTCTTACTGGGTTTCGAACCCTGAACCCCCGATAGCATTAGGATCGTTTTAACAAAATTTACTACCTAATCACCAAACATATTTGACCAAATCCCTTAGATCCCTCCCCCAACCCGGCGATGACTGGTGTGTGTGTGTGAAAAGCACCTGCACTGCGACAGAATCATTAATTATGAAACACTAATACTTAGATAGCACATAGTGATAATCCGCCTGTATATTGATTAATCTGTACATATCTATCAAAGAGTTGTGTTCTCCATAATCGCGTTAGTACGGTGCACATAATAAATAAATAAATAACGGAATAAAGATTATTGGATGCTACTCATAACTCTAGCTTCATTTTGTATTCCAAGCTTTAAGCTGGGATGTTGTCCTGTTTTGTACTTTGTTCTGTTTAGAACTTTTAGAATGTGCAAATCACATGAGTGGCAATCCTCGATACTCCAGGGTTTAAGCTCACTAATGCTCTCTGCACCCTTGTAATATGTCGCAGCGAAATCGAAGGCACGCGACTAGGTATTTTATTGGTCTCGGGTAAAACAATCTGACCAATATCTAGGCTGATACATGTCCTTTGAGGACTACAGATAAGCGACACCCAACTTCAAAGAAGGTCAATTTTAGGTTAACACGACCGACCGCGAGATTCTTTTGATGTACATTGAAAGGGTCAAAATAGTCTTCTTGTCTAATAAACAAGGTGGCGCACTCCGCGCCTTCGATTTTGCCATGGTATATTCCAGGATGCCGAGAGCGTAAGTGAACTTAACCCATGGAGTACCAATGATGATGATAGGCTTGCGTTAGTAATTGCACAGTTGTCACTCTGACCTGATTATCTATTTTGGTCGGATTTGTGTCCCCATTAAGAGGGTACTAAAGCAAATCCCCAATTCTACAGGGGTTTCCTACATTAGTTGACTCTTACTACAAGAAAAATTTATTAGGAAAGGTTGTTAGAAGGTAGAGAGAAAATATAAAGATCTCAAATCTTGCAGGCGGTGCAACAGAGTTGTTCGGTCGGATGTGTGTCCCCAAGAAGAGAATACTAAAGCAAATCCCCAATTCTACAGGGGTTTCCTACATTAGTTGACTCTTACTACAAGAAAAATGTATTAGGAAAGGTTGTTAGAAGGTAGAGAGAAAATATAAAGATCTCAAATCTTGCAGGCGGTGCAGCAGAGTTGTTCGGTCGGATGTGTGTCCCCAAGAAGAAAATACTAACGCAAATCCAAAATTGTGTTATATATATATATAGAGAGAGAGAGAGAGAGAGAGAGAGAGAGAGAGAGAGAGAGAGAGAGAGAGAGAGAGAGAGAGTGTATAAATATCTCAAATCTTGCAGTGGTTGCAGCAGAGTTGTTTGGTCGCGTTTGTAGTGGTTGCAGCAGAGTTGTTTGGTCGCGTTTGTGTCCCCTAGTAGCAAATACTTTAGCAAATCTCAAAAATCTCCAGGGGTTCCCACACTAGTTGACACTTACAACACAATACATGTAAAAGATGGTTTATTTGTTTTCTCAATCCCCGAGCAGCTGAGACTGGTCATTTATTTGTACAAGTTTTCTCTTACGAACTACCTTATACTGCCTTCGGTTTGCTCTTGATTTTTTGTCATGTCTTACTTTTTTATTTCGATAGTTTTTTTGTTTTTCTTTCGTTGTCTTTTCATACCAACCGATATTTAAAGTTTTATCCTTATGCATATTTTTGTAATCTTACTTTATTTAGATCATATTTATAACGTATTATTCTGTCGAAAGAGCAATAAATAATGGCAAAAACAACAAAAATTATATGTCACAGCTTTACGTTAATACCATTGAAAATTGAAAAATCTTTTATTCATAACTCGGGTTAGATATTATGGAAAATCGGCTTGACGACTGAGAAAAAAATGCAGTGGCTACTTGACACTCGGGGCATTTAAGTAGAAAGAAAATGGTATGTAGGGTACCTAAATCCAGAAAGATTGTATGTGCCGATAGTGAGTCTGAGTAGGTGGTTTTGCATATCCAGATTATTTTTTTATCCAATATCCAAAACTCTGAATAATTTATATATCGCATTTGTGGCAACGGTGTCAAAATGAGTAATTCATTAATATTTAATAGTTCGGCTTTTAAGATAATGGATTTGAATTGCCTTTTGCAAGTACCGTGAATAAATGGGCATTCATTTTTAATAAGTAAAATGTTCGACAATAAATGATAGTCAACCATCTATCTTTTCAGAATGCAAATAACAAACAAATAAATCA